CTCCGAGGGAATCCACCGAAAGGAAACGCGTGCTCCGAGGGCCAGGCTCATAGCGCAAAGCTCGCGGCACCTCCGAAGCAGGTACCACGACGAGCTCCGCCCCTTGCACGAGGTGAGGACCCAGGCCATTGAGTCAGACAAAACTAAGTGCCGCTTCTGGGCGCTCTGGCGGCTGCGAGCCAGCCGCCGAACCTGCCACAGGGCTGCCTCCGCCTCGAGCGCCAGGATCTTGTCCTTGCGCCTCCAGCGGCGAGCTGCCACCACACCCCAGTCATCGCCGCGGGCCAGGGCCGACGGCACCTCCTCGAAGGCGGAGCGCAGCCCCAGCGCACGCAGCTGCTCGGACGAGGCCTCGACGATGTCGCAAAGCGAAGGCTCAGCCTCCTCCCCCTCGACCAGGCAGCGCGGGCGGCGGGAGGTGCGCAACGCCCCTCGGTACCGCCCCCGCTCTGAGGCGCGGCCGACGCGGCCCACCTCGGCGGAGGGCCAGACCTTCTCGGTGACGCCGAAGCCGTGTAGCGAGGCGTCGACCGAGGCGACTGCGGGCGACCAGGGCAGGCTCATGTCGGCGACGGCGAGCGGCAGCAGCGCCCAGGCAGCTCGGAGCTCGCGCCGCACAGAGGCCCACACGCGTGCCGGCTGCCCGAAGTAGCGGTCGGCGAAGATGTAGACGGCCGAGAAGATGGACAGCATCTCCGGCCGCAGCAGCATGATGGCAGAGGCATGGCCGACGGCGCGAGCAATCTGCCGCCCCGTGCGGCGCTGACGGCCCCAGCCCAGAGCGCGGAGGGCCAGTGCGACCTTCCAGAACTTCCTCGCCGTCGGCCGCCACTGGGTGCCCGTCGAGTCCAGCTCGAACCCGAGCAGCGGAGCGCCGGCAGGCTCTGGCGAGGCGTCCACTCCAGCGGCCGACACGGCGCCCAGCATGCGCTCCAGACGAGTGTTCGCCTCCGAGGCGCTCGTGCCCATGGCCGCGAAGTTGTCAATGTAGAAGAGCGAGGCCCCCGAGCCGGGGCAGACGGGCTCGCGCGGCACGTACTGGGCCAGCCAGCGGTCCGCCGGGGCGCAGGGGCGAAGAATCTCCATCATGACATGCTGTATGAAGTAGACAGCCCATGACCAGCCCATCGGCACCACTCTGAGGCGCAGGTGCACCATGCCGTCAGGCGGGCGCGCCCCAACCAGCTGGCGAGCGACGAGCGGCAGCGCGTCCCATGGCACGGGCGGCAGGCCGAAGGCCTCACGCAAGTGCGCTGGCAGCAAGAACTGGTAGAAGCAGCACGTGACGTCGCCCTGGGCCACGAAGAGGCGCTCCCCCGCCTGCAGCTCGATGCTGCCGAGGGCCTGCGCCGCTGCCAAGGGGACGTAGTCGGGCTCGGCGAACTCCATGTTCGAGGCCCTGGTGTCGAAGATCAGCCTGAGGGTCCCGTCCTTCTTGTAAACGAAGAAGGGCGCCACCTGTGAGAACGAAGTGCCAGCCTCGAGCATGTCACGCTCGAGGAGATCAGCCAAAAACTTCCCATAGGTGCGTGGACTGCTTGCAAGCCTCCGGTCAAAAGCCAATTTCGCCAACGACGTAGAAGATGTGGAGCCCCTCGTCAGCAAGGTGCCAGACTCACCCATCAGCAAAGAGCGGGGCCCCGCCGGCAGTGCAGCAGCTAGCTCCACCGCGCCAGAGGCCGCGCGCGGAAGTGAGACCTTCCCGCGCTGGTAGGTGGCGTACTTCCCGCTGGCCATGTCGTCAAATCCATAGCCAGGATCGGAGCCGATCACGGCGCGCGTGGCCGAGTCGGCGGTCAGGTCCGTCGGGCAGCTGGGCACGGCGGCGTAGGAGCTGCGAAGCCGCTCCAGCGCGTCGGTCTGCGGGCCAGAGGCGGCTCCAGCCCGCCGAACAGCGCCGCGCCCTCCCATCTCATTGAGGGTCCGCAGGCCTGCCGAGAGCCACTCCAAGCCCAGCGCATCCCCATGACGCGGTGCAGGCGAGGCGGGCTCAGGCAGAAGAAGCAGGTCCCTGGGATCTGCCGCAAGACCTGGCGGCATAGCGGCGGCGCGAGCGCTCAGCCGCCTCCCCTGGTGGTGTAGAAGCGGCGCCCAGCCGGGGGGGCTCCGGGGCCGCTGCAGGATAGCACGGGGGTGGGAGGCGTCAGCCCTGCCCCCCCGAGCCAGCGCCCGGGGTGCCAGTCTGGCCGTCCTTGCCCTTCTTGTTGTCCTTGAGCTTCTCACTGTGGACGGCGCCGATCGTCTGCCCAGCGCCGCCGCCGCCGCCGCCGGCGCCAAGGGACGCCGCCGCCAGAGCCCGCTCAGGGCCCTTGCGGCGCTCTCTGAGCACGGCAGCCTGCTCCTCCATGCGCTTAGCCACCCAGCGCTCCAACTCGGGCGGGATGGACGCGTAGCCCTTGACACGGTCGCCGCCGAGGACCAGGTGCCTCTCAGCCGCGAGCCCCGCCGCCACCGCGCCCTCTGTGGAGGCGCGGATGCGCTCCTGGTACCGCTCCTCCCCGAGCAGGTAGCCGCGGGACATGCTCTCGCAGCAGGCCAAGACGCAGATGTTGACCTGGTCGCACGGCTGCCCGTGCTGGATGTACTCCGAGAGGAAGAGGTGCTCGTCGATCCCTGGGCCCAATGATGTCGCCCCCAGCGCTTGTCTCCACCAAAGGTCATGCGGCACCGCACCCATCCCGCTCTTGGCGGAGGCCTTGATGAGCCACTGCACAGTGCGGGGGCCCTCCATTGGCCAGGCGTCGTCCAGGACCTCCCCGCGCAGCCGGTGGTGCGCGGACTCGAAGCTGCGGGTGCGCTCCCCGCGTACCTTGTACTCGACCGCCAGTGTGAGAAAGTCCTTCGCCGCGTCCGCCACACCCTCGGCGACTGGCAACGGCATCGGCGGGTCGCGGCACGGGCGGTACCACACTCCCTCCCAGCACAGCAGGGCCTGGCCCGAGGCGCCGACGGCGATACACGAGTCGCGGATGGTGATGCCCTCGCCGTGCCTGCGAGGGCCCTGGTCCTCGCCGACGAACCACTGCCAGCCCCCGATGTCGGAGTGGGCAACCAGCGAGCCGGGGTCGTAGAAAGCGGGATCCACGTCGGCAGCAGGCGCCAGCGCGCCAGCCTCGCAGGCGGGCGCAACGCCGGTGTCGGCGATAGGCGCGGGCCCTCGCCCACCTCCATCGGCAGCTCGAGGTACCGAAGCCCCGCCAGCCAGGTAGGCCTCGGCCCGCCGGCGGAAGGCGCTGGCGTCGGCGATGTCCCCAGGGCCGAAGGCGTAGCGGAGTGCCTTGTGCCCGGCGAAGCGGCTCGGGATGCCGCCAGCAGCACCACTAGGCGGCGCATCCACGTAGTCCTCCAGCAGCTCCCCGTGCGCGTCGCCGTCCGGCGTGAGCACCACGTGGCCACCTGAGGTGCGGCGAGGGACGAGGCGTTCGTGCCAGACCTCCTCCGACGAGTCGAACGGGGCCCAGGAGCGGCGCCCCGCTGCCACAGAGCGGCCATCTGCCATCAGGCGAGCGGCGAAGCCCCGACCTCCCCTGCCGCGCGCCCCTGCCGGCAGTGTCAGCTGCCTTGGCGTCTCCAGGCCCGCAGCCTCCACGAACGGGGCCGTCGGCCGAGGCAGCGTCCACCAGCGGGCTGCGCCCCAGCCCGTCACGAGCTGCCCCACCACGACGGCGAGCAGCTGGGCGGTGGACCAGCCCGGGGACACACAGCCGCACTGGCAGCCGCAGATGGGCGCGGGTGGCGCGGACCGCACCAGCAGGCAGAGGGAACCGATGGAGAATGCGCAGGCGTCTGTGGACGGGTCGACCGGCATCCTAGTCCGGACAGAAAAAGGCTTGAGAGTCAGTGTCCATGGCGCTCGTCAACATTACCATTGACATTAGCATGGATCGGGGGAAGTGCCCCTCTCCACAGTGCGGCCAGTGCCGCCTCGCTCGGCCGCGGCAATCCGCGACTTCCCATGGAAGCGGGACCCGTCGCTAATCCACGCCCCCTTGATCCATGTTTGCGATCGCCTGACTTGTACGTTACGCCAGACTCGCGCTCCCGAGGCCAGAATCCCATGCACGCAACATCAGATTATCGCGACCCGCGTCCAGGCTCCCTTGCAAACTGCGGCCAGGCTCGCGCGGAGCCAAGACCCCTTCCGAGTGTACTCCACACTGGCGCTCCTGATGACAGAATCCGCAGCAAAATACGCACGAGAATCGCTTGCGGATTGCACGAGGCTCACCTTCCCGAGGCCGGCTGCTCGAGGATGTTACGCAGGATGCGCGCTCCCGAAATCAAACTCGCTGGCAACTCAGGCCGGGTTTGGGCTCTCGATGCCAGAATCCTTTCTACGTTGCGCTAGATTCGCGCTCTCCCACGACCACAATCCGTAGTAAATTAGGCCAGGCTGTCGCCCCCGCCGCCGGAATCCTTTTGGCAAATTGCACCAATTTCGCGCGCCCGGGAAAAAATCTTTGCAGATTGCACCAGATGCGCGGCCCCCGTGAATCACGCCAAACTCGCGCACCCGAGGCCGGGAAACCCAGCAAATTACACCAGATTCGCGCACTGAGAGGGCAACAGAGCGTTCAACAATAATTCCAGCATCAAGGTGCTTGCTGAATTCAAATCACCCTCGCATGATGCTCCCAGAAATTTTCGAAACAGCGCCGACACGTCCCAGCATAGCTCTGGCATCTCCCATTATGATGTTTGCTTGTTTTTTTTAAGCGGCGCGGGCGGCAGAGGGCAAAGCCCTCAGAGATAATCGGTCCGTTTGCCATACGCTCGTGGTCTCTGTGATACGTTCTCCCTCGCGATCCTCCCCTTTCCCTCCTTTCATCTCCTCTCTTCTACCACTCCCTGGCCATGCCGCTCCTGCTTCTGTGATTCCATGTGCACTCTCCCACCTCGCCGCAAAAGGCTTGGGCGACATTCTGCTTGGCCCCGAGGAAGGAGCGGCGGGGCAGAGGTTCCATTCGGCAGACCACTATCTTTCACCCGCGCGGGCACGCCTGGGCTCATCGTGGCAATCCGTCTGGGCCTGCTGCATTTCCAATCCGTCCTCCTCGTCGCCAAAAGCTGAATCCTCCTCGAGGTCCTGCGGACGTGTACAATAAACATCACACATGGATCACCCAATACAACGAACGAATGACCATTGTGAGCAATGGAACCACCAACACGATATATACACAATCGACTACGGAACGCCTCTCAGGGGCTGAGCAAAGCCGGAGCAACAGCGCATGCACGCCTGCCACGCCAAGGCACTGGGAGGTGTGAGCACAGCGGCACGAAGAGTGCAACTGGGCGGACGACGGGGAAAACGAAAATGAACAAGGGCAGGATGAGGAGGTGAGGGCGACCAGCAAGAGCAAGAGGGGGGGAGGGCAATGAGGTGGAAAAGACGAACGCAAGAGGGGAAGGGAATCGCGCCAACGGCAGCAGCTTCTCCTCGATCCCGTCCTCCTTCTCCTCCAACTCCTCCACCCTCTCTCCCTCCCGCCAAGAAGCGAGAAAGACGCGCGGGGCCCAAAAACGACAGCGGCACGCTTTTTCCGGGGCAGGGGGGAGTAGCGGGACGCGCCCCGCCCGATGGCAGGGTCGCCGCGCGGCTCCCGCGGGCTCTTTCTCGCGATCTTCGCGGGGGGGGCACCGGAAAACAGCTCGTGCACGCAAGTGCGCGGCCTCGGCGGAAGTCGCCCCGCTGGCGAGCGCGCGGACACAGCGGGTGCGCGAACGGCATCTTCACGACAAACTTGCGAAGCATAAGAGCGGGCAACAATGTTATTTCGAAACGAGTCCGACCGCGAAGGACAATAGCGACGAAAGACGCGAAATAATGAGACGACGGAGAGGACCAACAGGAAACGCGCGGCACCAATAGAAGACGTCCAGGGACGAAGCCGCGGGGGAGACGCGCAGAACCAGCCTCATGGTAACAAGTTCCCCTGCCGGAGAAATTCCGTCGTTCGGCTTCCGTGCTCTCTTTTGCGGGGGTCTTGGGGCCGGGAGCGCCTGCCTCCATTGGTGATTCCGCCATTGGCTCCAGGGCCCTGCGGGCGGCGCCTCTTCTGAGGCGCGCGCGGGAGTGCCTGGCGCAGGCCGCTGGGGGTTCGATCCTGGGTCGGACACCAGTGCGAACCACGTGTTTGCCGAGACCATCGCCCCTAACATGCAGCGGAAAGGGCCGAGAACGGCACGGCGCAACACAGCGCCCAGTGCTGCGCCGCTGAGACTTGCCGTGAGTCGCGCAATCTCGCGCGCAACAGTGCCTTCGGTCCTAGCGCTGACGCCGAACTTTCTACAGCGCCACGAAGACACCGGGTGCGGTCACGGGCGCAGCGCTGCACGAACGTCGCGGCGCGTCGCAGCGGACTGAGTCGCCATGGCGTCGGGTTCCCCTGTCGCAGCTACTTCGGCGCCCCGAGACAGACGTCGGCGAGCGCGTCGCCCCGGGCTTCCCCGCCGTCGCGGGGACAGACCTCGGCGAGCGTTTCGCGCCAGGTTTCCCCGCCGCCATGGAGACTAACCTCGGCGAGCGCTTCGCGTCGGGCTTCCCCGCCGCAATGAAGAAAGACCTCCGCGGGCGCTCAGCGCCGGGTTTCCCCGGCGCAGGGGGGCGCGATCTGGCGGAGTGCTCCGCGCCGGGCTTCCCCGCCGCGGAATTAAACAAACCCGAATGGCGCCTGGTGCTGGGTTTCCCCGCCGCAAGAGCACGCGCGCTCGCCTCCCCCCCCCGCGCCCCGCGCCCCTCCGCTTCCCCCCGGAGGAGGGCAGCGCGGGATGGCCAATGGCGACCGCGCAAGCGGCAGCTTCGGCCGCCAGGGCGCGCGCGCTGCCACGGGCCCACTCGAGCGCCCGACCGTTCGAGACCGCGGGCTGGCTTCGGCGGCAGTGGCCTACCCCTGTGGTCCGGAGCGGGCTTGCTCGATCCTCGCGGGGAAACGCACCCCCGCGCGCCTTGCCCCAGGCATGCAGGGTGCCGGTCCTCCCCGTTCGAAGGCATAGGCGGACTGAAGGGCGCGTCGCCGCCGCGGCTAGAGCGGCCGCTTGAAGGCGGGCGCCCTGGGGAGTCAGCATTTTTGCGAAGCTTTTTCGGGTTCGTCTCCGCCATGGCCCGCGCGTGCGAAGGCGCGTTCATCGCCGCGCTTGCAACCTCCGCCCTGGCGGCGCCAGCGCATCGGCCCGCGCCTTTCGTCGCGCCGCGGTTTGTAGCGCTTCTCTGCCAAGGCAAACTCTTCGCAGAACCTGCGAGCCCCTGACCTGTCAATCGGCCCTGTAGTCTTCTTATACATGTGCCCTGGGCGATACCGCGGGCGGCCCCGATGACGCGAGCGCTCTTCGGGCCCGATCGCCGCGCGCCCCTTGGCCGGCGTGGCTGAGGCCCGACGCACGTGCTGGCACCAGTTCCCTGCGCGCCGTTTGTAGGCGTTCCCCCTAGGAATTCTGCGCGCCCGTTGCGAGCCAATCGCGCTGTTTCGTTCGGATCGCCTCTTTCCGTCCTGCGCGACGCACCTTATATCCCGCTCGAGGTCACGATGCTGTTCTATATGAGCTCAGAACAAGGGTTCAAGGATAGGCGACCCCAGCGCGGCTTCCATGCCCAGGAGGGCGCAGCCCCAATCCACCATGAACTCGCCGAGGCTGCTGCCCTCCACTTCGGCAAGAATGCGGTGGGCCAAGTCAACGATGCAGCCTTCCGCATCTACCAGCCTGCGGCAGTCCAAGATCGCGAAGATAACGCGTCGTCCTTTGACGAGCGGGCCGCCAGTCGAAGCCCCTTCCTTCCGCGAGTTGACCCTTCTCGGTCATCACTTCTAAGGGTGTTGCTGCATGTGTGGCCATTTTCATATCGAGCGCCCCGAACTCGCCACTGACCACGAGTTACTCGCACGTTTCTGCGGCACCCTCAATCACGCGGAGCCACGTCAAGCACCTGCTTGGTCTGAATGAGCCAGAGCTCGTCGTCGCACGCATGTCATGCTTCCAGCGTCGGCAGTTCGGCGCCGCAGGCAGGCTCGGGATTCAACTGTTTCGGCCTCATTGTACTTCGCTCTGTTGCAACATCATCCGAACAGCATCTCCAGCGGCGCCCTTTTCGCTCGCGATTTGATGATCCGCCGCCTGCGCCACGGGGCTCATCTCCGAAGGGCGAGGGCTGCGCGTCTCTGCGCTGTTCGTCGTGGATACGTGATCGGGCCCGCTGGGCCATTATCGGCGAGGCACGTTCTCGCTGGCCGGGGCTCTCCATCTCGGGCGCGGCGTAGACGCAATGGCTCTGCTGACTTCGTATGAGGCGCCAGATTGCTCCGCCGCAATGCGCCAGCGCGCGGCGCGCATTGCGACTGGCACCCCTGCCGCGAACGCGCGCGGAAGGGGGGCGGGGGCGCTTTCCGTTAGCACCAACCAGTGGGGGCCTGGTCTTAGCGCCTGCCCGTTCAGGGCGCAAGCTGCGGCGCCCCCGTCGCCGGGCTCACGCGCCTCGTAATCAGCGGTGCCTGTCTAACAGTGATCGCGGAAACCGCCTCTCCGATTCTTTTCGGTAGTCGTCCACTCTTCTGTCGATCGCGTCGATCAACTTATCCAACCTGGCAAATTCAGCGCCCGTGAGCTCAGACTTTTGTCTGGCGTGCACGCAGCGCGTTGTCGCAATGCTTACTCCATGCCACATTGCTCTCCTGCTCGGCTTCGAACTTATCGAGATGTTGGCCCGGTGACGTGAGCTGTCTCTGCGCTGCTGCCCTCATCCTGACATCCTGACACTTGGCACTCTGGGCCGCGAGGGCTTCGACGGCAGTGCGAGCTTCAACGTCGATAACTGAGCGGACTGTTTGTGGTTGACGAGCCAATTGGGCCTGCATCCGACCTTCCTCTGCAACGGACCGCGCTTGCTGGCCGCCGCGCTCACAGATGGCTCTCGCGCGTAATATGCAGGTGCCACGGAGGGCCTTGGCTTGCTCTTGGAGAGCCATTTGTCGTTGCCTGATCTGCTCCTGTATGGCAATTTGCACATTCAGTAGGTCACTTGGCAGCACGAGCGCGTCGACTCGACGCTCGCGTGGTTCATGGGTCGCGCCGGTTCGACGTTCGTCGGTTTGTTCCGCGTCAATTCGACGCCCAGTATGATGGACCGATTCGATTCGACGCGTATTGGCATATGCCCCAGATGGCAGTCGCGAGGTTCGCCTCCGTTGCGCGCCCTGGCTTATCCTGGCTGACATTGCAGTTCCGTTTCGTTCTCGTGTGCGGTCGCGGGGGGATTACCCATGGGGGTGGGGCATATAGCCCCTACCCGCTTTCCTGGCTTTTCCGAACTGACCCCGAACGCGGCCGGTCCTTCTATGGCACCAAGTTCCCCCGACGCAATCAATCACTTCGGCGCCAGGGTTTCCCGCCACAGCGCCCGCGGCGCCAAGTTTCCCAAACGCAATGGCCGCGCTATGCGAAGCACTTGCGGGCGGCGGTGTATCGACATTACACCCTACAAGAACAGTGCTTACATCACCCGTTCGCCGATCCGCCCCAGCAGTGGCGGCGACCGCTGACCGCTTGCTTGTCGTAGCGCAGGCGTCAGCCCGTTCAACCTCGAACGAAGCGTTCAAGCTCATGGCCTCGAGAATCGCCGCTGCCGAATCCAAAGTGCTCATCCCCCCGCGTGAGCGGGCCTTTTGGCTGATAACCTATACTTCAAGATCGAATGGCCTATGGGCCAAACCTCCCTGGTCAAACCGTTGCGGTCGAGGGCCCTGGCTCGCCCGAGAAAACTGCCAGGTGCCCATCAAGTATTCGACCTTCCGTCCTGCCATGCTTCACGAGAACGCCCCGAACTGAACACAACAAAGGAGAACCGCTTGCAATCGTTCCTCACGACCACGACGGCGCAAGGATGTCGCCCTTTTAATCAACCGCTTCGAGAAAACCGATCTGCGGTGGATGCGACCGAACGCGAAGCAGAAACAGCAGCAACATAAAAAGAAGAAAGGCGGAGAGGTGAAGGACCCAGACGGACCCGCGACACCCGGAAACCCAGGCGGGGATACCGTCTAAACAAACATGCGCCAGTCACGAGGGGCGAAACACACATCCTCGAACTCCTCCTCCTCCTCCTCCTCCTCCTCCTCCTCCTCCTCCTCCTTCTCCGCATCCTCCGCCTCCTCCTCCTCCTCCTCCTCCTCCTCCTCCTCCTCCTCCTTCGCATCCTCCTCGCCCGCTCGTCGCCCTCCCCCCACCCACCTACCCACCCCCACCCCACCCGCCCCCCAAACGCGGGAGCCGCGCTTCCTTCATGGCGGCCTGGACGGCCAAAAACATGTCCTCGTCGCTCCTGTCGTCCCCTCGGGCCGCGCGCGCGAGGGGCGGGCGCGACTCTGATGGGACGGGGGGCGTCGCCCCGAGCCCGCGGAGGCGACCGAAGGGGTGCCCAGAATGGGGGGGGGGGGGGGAGGGGCGCGGCGAGAAAGGGAGGAAGAGGATGAGGAACAGGAGGAGGCTAAGGAGGCTAAGGGGGAGGCTAAGGACGAGGAGGCGGAGGAGGAGGAAGAGGCGGAGGAGAGGAGGAGGAGGAGGAGGAAGAGAAGGAGGAAGAGGAAGAGGAGAAGGAGGAGGAAGAAGATGAGGAGGAAAACGAGGAGGAGGAGGAGGAGGATAATGACGCAGAGGGAGGCAGAAGAGGAGGAGGAGGAGGATGAGCAGGAGTAGGAGGAAGAGGAGGAGGCCAAGGAGGAGGCAAAGGAGGCTAATAAGGAGGCTAGGAAGGAGGCTCAGGAGGAGGAGGAGGAAGAGGACGAGGACGAGGAGGAAGAGGAGGAAGAAGAAGAGTAGGCGGAGGAGGAGTAGGAGGAGGAGGCTCAGGAGGAGGAGGAGGAAGAGGAGGCGGAGGAGGAGGATCACGCAGGGGGACCAGGAGGAGGAGGACAAGTGTAAACCCAAACCCAATCAAGGATGGATAAAACCTCCCTCCGAACTCCCTCGTCATTATGCGAAGTTCTCTGAGCCTTCCCCGAAGACACAGAAAACCTCTCAGACGGCCCGAGGCCTTCTGAGAAGCCCCGCCGGCTTCTGAGAAGGCCTTCTCCTTCTCACGTCCCCCCCCCCGCTCACCGCCGAACGATGGAGAACTCCTTCCTCTGCACCTTCGCTCGTGGTCGTGCCGATCGCCGTCGACGACTCGCCAGGAAGCGCAATAAAGAAGAGATGGGAGGGTGATGTGGGACGCACAGGGACATTCTAATACTATATGTCCTCCTTGGAGGCGCGCGTCCGACGCGAACATATAGTATACCCATCCTGTAGTATATCGTTTCCCGAGCGGTGTGGCCAGAAAGCGCCCGTCACGACGCATGCACTATGAGATTTCTCGGTGCGCGCGTCGCCCCCAGGGGGGCGACGCACATGTAGAAGTAGAAGGATGTTGGGGTGGCGCCGATGACGGGCGCTCACCTGCCCCGCGTCGGGCTGTTGCTGGGAGTGGCCGCCGCGGCGGACGAAAGCGCTCTGCCAGCCACGGCGGGCCTCGGGCACGTGTCGGCCCCCCGCCCAGATCCGAGGAGTGGCCACAGGGCGCACGGGGACGTACCAGTACTTCGGGGGCGTCCAAGAGGGGGGCGTCCAGAAGGGGGGGTGCAAATCATGGCCGGCGGCATGTGTGCGGACCAGGGGGCGAGTCCAGGGACGTATTGAAATAAGACGAGGCGCCATGAAATCTGGGGAGATATCATGGCCCCCGCCATGATATCTGACCCCCCCTAGTCATCACCCCCTCTTGGCCGCTCCCGAATACTATAGGTCCTCCTTGGAAGCGCGCGTCCGACCTTGCAGTATATGTTTCCCGACCGGTGCGGCCTGAAAGCGCACGCCACGACGCACATGCTATAAGATTTCTCGGTGCGCGCGTCGCCCCTGGGGGGGGGTGACGCACACATAGTACTAGCATGTTGGGGTGACGCCGACTCCATGCACCCGCAGCGGTTACCTAAGCGCTCAGCGTTCCTACTGCACACCAATCCAGGTTACTACCAGGAGGGGCCCGGCTTCCTGGTGAGGCAGTGGCAGGCAGTATCTGAGAGCAGAAGGTCAACTCTCATAATAAGCACCCCGACAAGCAAAACCCCTGCTGCAAACGCACCTCAGGAAGGAATCAGGCAGGGAAGAACTGTTTCGTAAACGCGCAAGGCCGTTAGTAAACTCAAGCTGTGGGGGGCCTGGGTGGCTGTCCCTCCTCGGAGTGGAGGGCAGAAGATCCACCCTCATAGCAAGCACCCCGAAAAGCGAAGCACTCTTGGTAAACGCGCCTGAGGGCGGAAACAAAGAGGGCAGGACTTTTTAGTAAACGCCCTGGGCTGTTAGTAAGCTCCAGTGGGGTTCGGGATGCGTTTCTCCAGTAGGGGTCGGAGTACTTTTCCTATCATGATGAGACTGCCCCGATCCCCGATTTTCTGGTTCGTGGGCTGGGCTAAACATTGGGGCCCAACTCGGAGACAGACGAGGAGGGGGGGGGGGACCATCCTCGACCGGGGTGCGTCCGAACAGGCATGTCCCCGAATTCCCCCGCTTTTCTCAGCGGCCAACTTTCTGGGAAAGGGAGCTCGGGGATTTAGCATCAGGTCGGGTATGTCCTCCTACAGGCGGATTTTGGAAGCCCAATGAAAGTAGTCAAACAAATCAGATTGAGTCAAACGGAACACGAAAAACGGGCCACCAGACTGTTTTCCGACTGTTCTCGAGCATTCCTCCCGTCGAGGGACACACCCGACCTCACTCCAGGATGAGGAACCGCCTGCGAGGTACCGCTGCCAGCTCCCGCGGCGCCCCGCGCGCGCGCCTATCGACAGGACGAAGTCCACCTCCCCGTAGAAGCGCGAGATCTTGGACAGCACCGTCGCCACGGCCACGCCCTGGAAGACGCAGGCCGCACGGGCGCCCGAAGAGGCGCCGGGCGAACGTGAACGACAGCCCCGACGAAGCGAACACCGGCCACGTCAGCCTCGTCATCGTCGTCCACCCCGTCGTCCCTTCCTCCTCCTCCTCCTCCTCCTCCTCCTCCTCCTCGGCCTGGTCCTCCCGCTCCTCCGCATCCAGGCTCCCCTTCCTCCATCCTAGTTCTTGTCCTCGTCGTCCTACTCCTCCTCCTCCACCTCCTGCTCCTGCTGCTCGTCCTCCTCCGGGTCCTCCTGCTGCTAGTGCTGCTGCTGCTGCTCCTCGTCCTCCTGCTCTGGTCCTCCTATTCCCTTTGGTCCTTCTCCTGGAGCCCAACTGTTGATTTCGGCCTGATCCAACATCTTATTCTGCTTCGCATCCACCGTGGACGACGCAATCGAACAGATGAACGATTTGGATGAAACCCTTCAAAAAACGCACAAGTCGGCTCCGGCAGTGCTCCAACCGATAATTCATAAAAGCTAGCTGCACGTCACGACGATCATTATATACATGACAGGGAGGGCGTGATTAGGTTTGTAAAGAATTGCATCTCCAATCAATGATTGTTAGGGTACCTCTTCGAACGGCATCGATGTAACGGTCGACATCATACCAAGAGCAGATCCCCCGAATGCGACTTTGCTCACAAACATAACATACTAACATCATACTTTCCATGCGCGCCGAAAACCATCAAATTCTTTGGGACACCAGCGGCATCCCAAAGTCCCGTGCGGTCTCCTGGGCCCGTTCGTCAAGTCTTGCAGAACGGTTGGATTCAGCGCAGATTTACAGTCAACCTGTACAATAAGGACGCACGATAAGGATGCAAGGGCCTTGGAAGGCCACATCGAAGCTTTTCGAGCGGGGCGTGGCCAACGAAAGTGTCCAAGGATAGACCGAGGAGGCAAGGATGCAAGGGTACCCTTGGGAAGGTTGCCCATCCCTACTATGTGGGTAGACTGTATATCAAACGCTGGGTTTGGGGATTGGCAAGAGGGCCCGGGGAAACCGCAGCGGCGTACGTGCTAAGACGAGCTCGGACGCTCCACCGCGCTGATTCCCCATCGACGGCCCCAGGTGGCGACCGCTGCCTGTATTTGTCGTGGCCCTAAAGTCTACAGCGTCACCCTAAGTTTTGGCCAGCATTGAACCGCTGCCTGCATTTCTTAGCCCTAAGGTCTACAACGTCATCCTAGATTTGGGCTGGCATTGATTAACCCTGAGCAAAAATACGATTGGGTGGTGCAACAGAAGGCAGTACCGTGAATCGGCCGCGGGATCTGTCACCTCGCAAACAGATGCGAGAAGCCGAGCTGGAGGGGTATCAAGATGGGAACAAAGGGGGTGGTACCAAATGTGCAGCCCACAAGGTATAACGGTGATGTTGGTTAGAAGCGCGCTCCAGCTACGCTAGCATGTCAAAACGTCGAATTGCAACCTTGGCGGGAGATAATCAGACATGAATGCAAAACATGTCGATGATCACATATGTGGTGTGTGTGCGTGTGTGTGTTCCTGGCTGGTCTACCTGCACCGCTTCCAGTCAACATAATCAGATACGCCTAACATGTCCTGCATAGCGTGTGAATTTTAGTGCACGTTGAATACGCCGTCCGAGCTTAAGCGTCTGCAACATACCCATTCCCTGAAAGCAAATCATCATCCGCCTCTCACCCACCCCCTCCGCTCCTGGTCCTGTTCCTTCTGCACCTCTCCTCCTCGTCCATCCTACTGCTCCTCGTCCTCTGCTTCTCGAAGTCTTCCTCCTGGACTTCATTCTCTGCGCTATCCTCGTCGCGCGCCTCTTCCTGATCCTCTCGCTCATTCTCGGAGGCCGATGATGGGGGCCCAAGTGTCCTTTAATGATGGAAACTTCTGGTCAAACCCCAACACCAAGCAATGGGGCAACACTGCTCTTGCCAGAGAAATCCTTCTCGTCGTCCACCTAGTCCCCCTTTCTCCTCCTCCTCCTCATCATCATCATCAGCAGCAGCATCATCATCATCATCAGCAGCATCATCATCATCATCATCATCATCATCATCATCACCCTCAACATCATCCTCATCATCATCATCATCATCATCATCATCATCATCATCATCATCATCATTATCATCATCATTATCATCAGCATGATCATCGTCATCAGCATCATCATAATCACCATAAGCATCATCATCATCATATCATAATCATCAGCACCATCAACACCATCATCATCATCATGATCAGCGTCATCAATATCGTCGTCATCATCATCATCATCCTCACCCTCCTCCTCCTCATCATCAATATCATCGTCACTAATACCATCACCACCATCATCACCACCATCAACGTCGCTATCAAAATCACCATCATCATCATCATCATCATCATCATCATCATCATCACCGTCACCATCATCACGATCATCACCATCACTATCACCATCCGATCACCACCACCCATCACCATCATCATCATCGCCATCATCACCATCGCCATCACCATCATCATCATCGCCATCATCATCAGCATCATCATCACCATCATCATCACCATCACCGCCATCACCATCACCATCCAATCACCACCACCATCACCATCATCATCACTATCATCATCACCATCACCATCATCAGCACCATCATCACCATCACCATCACCATCCGATCACCACCACAATCACCATCACCATCACCATCACCATCACCATCACCATCATTACCAGCAGCAACAGCAACAGCATCATCCTCCTCCTCCTCATCATCATCATCATCAGCATCATCATCATCATCGCCATCATCAAATCAACATCATCAGCACCATCACAACCACCATCACCACTACCACCATCATCATCAAGATCACCATCACAATCACCACCACCACCACGATCACAACCACCACCACCATCATCATCAGCAGCATCAGCATCAACATCAGCATCAACAACATCGTCGTCATCATCATCATCATCATCATCATCATCATCATTTCCTCCTACGCCCCTCCCAAGTACTCCTCGTCCTCCTCGTCCTCGTCCTCCTCGTCCTCCTCGTCCTCCTCCTAGCCGTGTCAGCGTCGAGTTCGCCGCCGCTGGGCCCCTGGCCCGCCGCGGGCCGCCGATGGCGGCGCGGCGGCAACGGATCGCCGCGCAGCGCTGGCTGCGGCCCGCGGGGCCGCGCAGGCGGTGCATGGCGCTGCTGGCCTGCCGCGGGGTACGGGGCGGCTCGCCTGCTGCGCTCCGCGGAGGGCATCGTGCGTGCCGTGGCGGCGATGCTCGAGGCCGAGCTTCGAGCTGCCCGTGCCACGGCTGCAGGTCGTGATGGTGATGGCGGCGACGGCCCAGGCGTGCCACCTCGCGCTCCAGCGGCGGACTCCGCGCCTGGTGGCCAGGGGCCACGGCGGAGGCGACGTCGCGCTCGGCGCCGCCGAGCTCGCGGAGCACAGGACGGGCCCGTGGTGTTCGACAACGCTGCTGACGCAACTGGCGGCGGTGGTCTGGGGGCGGACTCCGCCGGGCCGCAAGGGCCCGCCCCGCTCCGGGGGCTCCTGCGCTCCTCACGCTGCTGCTGCTGCTGCTGCTGCGCCCTCGGTCTCTCGCCCCTCTTGTGTGTGTCTCCCCTCCTGTCCTTGGCTGGCTACCTCCCAGGCCACCCCAACCCAACCCGAAGACCCGAATTTAGGGTTTGGGGGTTCGATGTTCCCCAAACCCCCCCAGACTGGAAATGGAGGGCAAATTGAGGCCTTCGGGTTCGGTTGGGGTGGTTTGGTGGGTGGTCCTTGGCGGCGCGCGCCAGGGGGTATCGGGGAGGGGGGAGGCTTCGTCGACGCTGCTTCTCAGAAGGCGCCGGACTTCCCTCTATATAGAAACGGCCCGCGACTTCTAGGAAGCAGGGGTGCCTCTACGAAGCCTTTCCCCCTCCCCCTGCCCCCCTTCCGCGCGTGGTCGATTTTCGCCTTCGTGCCTCAATTCGCTCCTGGGGCAGCCCACTGCTTGCTGACCAGCGCCTGGCAGACTTGGCCCACCTGGCGCCCGCAAACTGAAAGGTGTTCCTCATTATCCTCCTCCTGCTCCCACGACTACGACTACGACTACGACTACGTTTACGATTAGTACTGCTACTGCTACTACTACAACTACTACGACTACTACTACTGCTACTACTACTACTACTACTACTACTACTACTACTACTGCTACTGCTACTGTTACTGCTACTGCTACTGCTACTGCTACTACTACTACTACTACTACTACTACTACTACTACTACTACTACTGCTACTGCTACTACTACACTACAACTAAACTACTACTACTACTACTACTACTACTACTACTACTACTACTTACTACTACTAACTACTACTACTACTACTAACTACTAACCGTACTACTACTACTCCTACTAACTACATACACTGACCGAGTACTAACAACACTACTAACTACTAACTACTAACTAAATCCTACTACTAACGTAGTACTACTACGACTGACCTACTACTACTAACTACAGACTACTACTACTACTACGACTACTACTGCTACTGCTACTTAACGAACTACGAACTACGACTACGACGACTACACTACTACTAACGCTACTACACTAACAACTACTACGACTATTACTACGACTACTACTACTACTACGAAACTACTACTACTACTACTACTGCATACACTCACTACTATTACTACCTACTACTTACTACTACACTACTACTACTACTAACTAACTACTACTACTAACTACAACTACGACTACTTACGGCTAACTACGACGACTAACGACTACGACTAACGACTACGACTACGAACTTACGAACTCTAACATTTACGACCTACGACAGCGACTACTACCAACTGCTAAACTACTACTACGACTACTACGCTACACACTACGATCTACTTACTAGACTACTAATGCTGCTACTAACTAGACTACTATTAACTACTAACTACTACACTACTACAC